CCTCCATCTCCACATCTTGGAAATCAGCAACAAAATAGTATGCACCTCATCGGGTTGTTGCTGTGAGGATTGAGTGGGAGCTATCGAAGCTTCTGACTTTAAGGAAACAGTGCGGTCGAGGACAGGAAGTGGCTGCCTTTATTCTGAGGACTCTTGAAGAAAGAAGATCTTAATCCAAGCACTCAAGACTAATTGTCCATTGCTGGACTTACTCATTTGTGCACAAGTGCTTGTGCAAGACATATTGTATACCTTTTCCTTTAAATCAGTTGAATTTGGACTCTGAGCTCCCATCAGAGGAAATTCTACTCCAGCCATTCCGAGGGCTCACTTGGGGCAGGTTGCATTTTCCTAAGGTGGCTGCAACAATATCTCCTGTCCCACAAGCTCTTCCAGAACTTTGCCACCCTCTCCCTTGAATCACGTGAGCCTCTGTGACTGCCTCCACTAACAAAATGCAAAGGAAATGATGCTATAGGACTTCCAAGGACACAATGCCACGGCCTTCTAAGTGGGTCGTTGCTCTTAACCCAGCAGCCCAGTTGTGAGGAAGCCCAAGCAACTTGCGGAGCGGCCTCATGGAGAGGAACTGAGGCCTTTGGTTCACAGCTCTGGCTGCGCTCCCAGCTGACAGCTAGCAACGACTTGCCGTGTGAGCGCGCCATCTTGAAAGTAGATCCTCTAAGTGGCTGGCATTGCACAGAGAAGAGATAAGCCTTCACTGCTCTGCCCACCCAAAACTGCAGATTTATGGGCAAAAAAACGAATGGGGTGGTTACATAACAATAAGAAACAGTTATCCCCCTCACTCTCCTTCCTTCCCTCCTTTCCTCCACCAGAGTTGTGCAAAAGTCTTGAGGCCTTACGTAGGCCCAGGTACCAACAAGAAACTGACCCCCATGTTCTTGCGAACAAGGACCTTGAGGTCTCCTTCCCCCTGCCCCTGGGCCACTTTGGGGTGGGAGAATCTTCTGAGAGGCTGGGAAACCCATGGCCATACCCCCTTGAGGTCTTGCCAAACTACCATCTCCCCCACCTCCGAGTTGGCCATTGACATCTTCTCTCAATGCTTGGTGTAGTGGCTCTTCTCGTCCCTTTCCCCACGTCCAGAACTCCTGGCTTCACTTCCGGAATGGACTAAAGAATTTCAAAAAGGTGGAGTCTCCCACTAGAAGCGTCACTCTACTCTCTGCCCAGGGTGAGTCATGACAAAGCCATACTCCTACTGGAAGATAGGGAACGAAGACAGATCTGGGTGAGCCAACCCAGCGAGATATTCCAGTGAATGACTCTGCTACGGTTTGACTGTGTCCCCCAGATTTCATGTGTTGGAAACTTAATCCCCAAACTTATATGTTGATGGTATTTGGAGGCAGGGCCTTTGGGAGGTAATTAGGATTAGATAGGGTCATCAGGGTGGGGTCCTGATGATGGGACTGGTGGCTTTATCAGAGGAAGAGAGACCTGAGTCGACATACTCTTGCTATCTCATCATGTGACGCCCTCTACTGTGTTATGAGGCAGTAAGAAGGCTCTCACCACACACGGCCCCTTGACCTTGGACTTCCCAGGCTCCAGAACTGTAAAAAATGAAATTATTTTCTTTATACATTACCCAGTGATATGGTTTGGATATTTGTCCCCTCCGAATCTCATGTTGAAACTTGATCTCCAAGGTTGGAGGTGGGGCTGAGTGGGAGGTGTTTGGGTCCTGGGGGCAGATCCTTCATGAATGGCTTGGTGCCCTCTGTGCTAATGGGCTCTCCCTCTATTACTCCATGAGAGCTGGGTGTTTAAAAGTGCCCAGTACCTCCTCTCTCTCTTGCTCCTTCTTTCACCATGTGACACGCCTGCTCCCCCTTCCCCTTCTGCCTTGATTGGAGACTCCCTGAAGCCCTCACCAGAAGCAGATGCTGGCACCATGCTTCTCGTACAGCCTGCAGAACCATGAGCCAAATAAACCTCTTTTCTTTATGAATTGCCTACTATCAGATATTACTTTATAGTAATGCAAAATGGACTAAGACACCCAACCTGTGGAATTCTGTTACAGCAACAGAAAATGGACTAAGACAGATTCAGATGCATATCTACTCAACAACTGTCCATTAAACTTCCAGGTGCTATTCTAGGTGCTGGGGATACAAGACCAAATGGCGGTGACACCACAGACCTGGACAAGAACACACCTGTGTCCACCCAGAGCCCACACCCCACCTTAATCATGCTTCAGGTATCTAAGAACCTGGAAACCTCTGTCTAACTGGCCCAGGCCCACTTTTAAGATTCGCAAAGCCTCCTGTCCCGGTCCATCCTCCTGAGGGTGCTTCCTGTCCCTGATGTGTGCACTCATAGAGGGGTAACAAAGACGGGGCTATGGGCAAGGTGTGTGGACAGAGTTTGGGCATGTGGACTGGAGTGCTCACATGCCAAAGTCATAGGTCACTTATGACACAGGACAGAGATGGGGCTAGGAAGAGGAGTGGGTGGGCTGACAGCTGGGGTCAGGTTGACTGCTCCCACACTACCATGTTTTTGCATAAAATCCCAAAGAGTCCAAGAATTCTAAATTTGAACACGATCTTCTTGGTCATTATAAAGAATATTTGTCAAGGTAAGATACATATATTTTATTTTATAGTCAGTTAAATGTTTAAATACAAGGCAGGTGGTCCTTGATTTGCATTCCTAACTTGGGCTGCCCATGCTGGGGTAGGGCTGCTCAACAGGTCCAGTGCTCCAGGCTGAGTCCTGCAGGGAGACCCTATTCTGTGGGGCTCAGAGGATGGTGGGGGGCTATGTCAGAGATTCCAGAAGGCCTACAGACTTGCCCTCCATGCTGCCACAGCTGCCTCCATCTTTAATCTGGAGTGGCAGAGACAGCAAGGGGTAGCAGATGGGACTAACGCGAGGGAATGTCTACATGCGGGGAGAGGACTGACAGGATCCAGCTGTTTTGCAGTTGCCAGTCACCATCAAAACACTCCAGCCTGGAGGGAGAGGGTAGGAAGCAGGGTGGAAGAGGAGGGTATTTTCTGCCCATTTTGCATGGGTTGGGTAGGGTAAGGAGCTAGAACCCAGCTCATGACAGGATAGCACAGTGATTCTCAAAATGTGGACCCTGGACCAGAACCCACATCATTTGGGATTTTATTAGGATCTTGCCCTCTTGCAGGATAGATGGTGTCCCTCTGTGGGAAGGACAACCAAATGGGACGCTACTGAGTTTAAAGCATTCCCCAGCCCCACTCCCCCAGCTTGGTGTGGAGCTTCTGCGCAGGATACATTTTACTGGGAAGAGGACAATTCTTGAGCATGCACACGTGCAAGCAGTGGGCCGTACCCGTCACACTGTCCCCGTCACACTGAATCTTCAACAGCCACCCTCAAGACTGGTATTATCGTTATTGCTGTTACTATTATTCCCTGTTTAAGGGCTCATCCTAGAGAGGTTAAATACCTCGCCTCGCCTTGGGTTAAAAAGCTGGGAGGAGGCTACCTAGGTCAGTGTGATTCTCAGACCACCCTACCTTCTTTACAGTTTGCTCAGCAGTGGTTCAAACTTGAGTGTGATTCAGAATCACCTGGAGGCCTTATTAAAACAAGTTGCCCCACAGTTTCCCCTTCAGTAGGACTGAGATGGGGCCTCAAAATACACAAGTTCCCAGATGACGCTGCTACTGGTCTAAGGACCACGCTTGGAGAACTACTGTGCTGGGCTAGAATCCAGCTCCCTACCCTGCTCCACCCATGCAAAACGGTCATAATCATGCCCTCCCCACAATGCTGCTGTTGTGAGATGCCAGTGAGATAATGGGAAGGAAAGCGCTTTGTCAGCAGCACAGGTGAATTGCCCTGGTCATTAACCAGGTAACCTGCCCAAGGCTGGTCCCCTGGAGCCTGAGAGCGCAGAGGGCTGGGATGCAGGGCGGTGCCCCACAGCCACCTAGAGCTCTTTTGCAGCCCACCTTAATTCTGGGCCACTTCTTCAGGGGAAAAGCCAGCTTTGAGGGTGCAGGCCCACATCCCTTCCTGCCACCTCAACCAACCCACATCCTCTCCCTCATCCCAGTCAGCCTGCTGGGCACTGCCCCAACAGCAGCTGGCCTGGGCCACTTCTCCAGGGGCTGGGCCAGGCAAGCCGGGGCAGCAGCACGCCTGTGATTCAGGACCTGGGGCTGGATCCTGCTCACCACAGCCTCCCCCCGTGAGAATCAGAGCCTGGGACTTGTCTTCTCCAAGCCTTAAACTGGGCATCAGCAAAATGGGCGCAACATGAGTACCCGTGAACTGTGGGAATTCAAGGGCCAGTACTTTTCACAGCGCTTGGCATAGAGCCTGCCTTGGCAAGGGTTCAATCAATGGGAGCTGTTAGCATTTTCAAAAAGTGCCTGGGTCCAGGCTGCCTCCCGATAGAGGCCCCGGCTGGGAACGCAAACTGCTCCCACGCCGTTCCCCGGTTGCACCCGGATACACCCGCCCTGGAAGACCAGCGTAGGGGCCCCCAGGGCTGCCCGCCCGAGTTGGGGTTGGCAGGGCAGCACAGGACTGGGAAGGCGCTGAGGCCAGGCCTGGGCGGGGAGGGGCGTGGCCGGGGCGTGGCCTCCCCTCGGAGGGCCAGGGGCGGGGCGGGGCGGCGCGGGGGCGATGGGAGGGACCAGGGGGCGGCCCGCCGCCGCGAGAAGACCCGGACCGGTGCGGAGGGCCGCAGAGGGGCGGGACCGTTAGGTAGGGCTGGGAGCAGACAGGGCTCCGGCGGGCTGGAGGGCACCAAGTGCGGGAGGGGGCGGGGGCGGGGGCGGGCCTCACCCCTTGTGTGGCCTGGGGGCGGGGCTGCCCGGGCTGGGGTGCGGAGGCCGGGTGGGCGGGGCCTCGTCTGGCCCGACCCTAGCTGCCTTCCCGCAGGGCTTGGGGGCGGGGCCGGCGGGCAGCCGAGGGGCGTGTTCTCTGGAGGGGCGGGGCCTGGCTGCGGCTGCTGCGTTCCCCAACAGCGTCCGCGAGGGGGACAGCGGAGGGACGGAGCCAAGCGCTGCGCAGTCGGACGCTGACTGGGGAGCGAGCGGGCGACGCAGGGTTTGCAGCGCGGAGCTAAAGCAGAGCCAACAGGTAAGAAGAGGGACAGGGGCCGGGGCAGGCCGGCCGAACAACCAGAAACAAAGTTAGTTTTCGCCCCCGCTTCCGCAGCTGGCTCGGACAGCTTTCTCGCAAGCAGTGAGTGACAGGTTGGGGCTGCTGGTGGGGAGAAGGAGTATTAGCCCCCGAGTCCTGAACCCCCAGTTCTCCGGCTCCCCCATGCACCAGCTATGTGACCCCGGGTCCGTCCCCCGACCTGGCTCTAGACCTCCAAGTAGGTTCCAGTAGGAGGAAGTTGAACCAGGTGAACTCCACGCTCCCGTGGCCCTTTCTCGCTAAAACCCCGGAAGGACAGGTCTGGCAGGTGAGAGCAGGCTGCAGCTCAGCCACAGGTGTTCGCGCTGTCCAGTTCCTCTCCCTGCAAAATGGGACTGAGCGAAACCAATTGCTTTAAAGGTCACACTGGTTCCTCGGATGGGGCTCGAACGCACAAGTCCTATGGAAGGGGAGCTCAAAGCAGGGAGATTTCGATTCTCCCCTTACTCCCACCTCTCAACAATTCTGACAGCTCAACTGAGCCAGGCCCTCTAAGACATCAAGTCGCAAACTCAGCGGGTCAGTCAGACTTTTCCAGGTGAGCTGGCCTGAGAGGCTGAGAGGGGGTGAAAACTGGGGCACAGTTCTTATCCTGGTGGGTGGGAAAAAAAGGGAAAACACCAAACCTTGGGCCCAGCGTCAAGCCCTGGGCACCAGGGGCTCTTGCCGCATACCCAGGGTTCATTTCTTAGGCTGAAGGGCTCTTTTTCTGGTGGCAGTGGGTGTCCTGTGCTGGCTACAGTAGCTGGGCAGCCTAGTTCAGTGGTCAAAAGCTTGGGGCTTTGAGACCAAACTGACTTGGATTCTACTGCCCCTCCAAACTTCAGTTTGCTTGTCTGTAAAATGGGGATGATGACAGTATCCAACGGAAGTAGTGAGCACTAAATAGAATAATGGGTACATGGTGCTTAGCAAGCGCCAGGCACCCAGCAAGCCCTCACTACATGACAGCTGCCTTGATGTGGATGGGCAGGTGATGGGCTGGCTTCCTGTTGGGAATGAGCCCTTTTGGGGGGGGGTTTGTGGGGGGAAGGCTGGGGCTGGCTGCAGCCCCTCCTGACCTTGTGAGAGCCAGAAATTGCCACCCGCCAGCAACATCACTCTGTTCATTTGAGAGTTGGGGAGTGTGTCACCTGGAGCTGAGAGTGGCTGGGTTTTCTATAATATTGCATGAGATTAGAGAGTGTTTACTGAGTACCTACTATATGCCAGACAGGGCTAGAGGATTCAGAGGTAAACCAGCCAGACCTGGCTCTGCCCTCATCCTGAGTGGCTGACAATGAGGCCTGCCCCAGGCCCACCATGTCCCTGCAGGAGAGGATCACTCCCACCCAGGGCTCTGGGCCAGATGGGATTTCATGGGTCTGTACTGCCCCGGTGGCTGGAATCCAGCTATACCATTGCATGCTTGGCTTGAGGCAGAGCTGAGAGGCAGTGTGGGCCTCTACTGTCTGTTGGAGCAGGGTTGAGCACTGAAGAACGCTGAGGGTGCTGCATGTTGGCCCCCTGCATCTTCTGGGGGGATAAGCTGTACACCGCGGAACCAGCTGGAAAATACTATGGGACGGAGCCTGATTGGAGGCTGCAGTGTGTGGAGGAGACAGTGCGTTTGTGTATGTAGAGCAGGGGAGGTGTTTGGAAGAGGGGAGACACTTGAGAAACCAGGGTGGGGGTGGGGGAAGGAGATAAGAAGGTTTCCTGGAGTCGGTGAGACTTGAGCAGGACTTTGTGTTTGGATTCCCAAGTCCTGGTTTGGCTTGCATCAACGTGGGGCCGCAGACTCTCCAAGCATTCAAGTGGCGTAAGATCACAGTTTGGTATAGTGTGGATGGAGAGGGCCCAGTAGGTGGTACCCGTGGTAGGGAGGAGGCGATGTTCATTTCAGCAGTGCCCACCTAGTAAGCCTTCACGGAAAGCCCTCCCCAGCACCACCCCTGCCCCACGTGATGAGTGACAAGTGACCATACAAGGTCCGCAGCGTCAGGTTGCTTACCTTCTTAGGCAAGGTTACCAGTGACTCTGACAGAAGATAAATGAAGAAAGGATTAGAGGGTCTTCAGGGCCTTAAGGATCGGGAGGGTTTCGGCAGCTAGGGTGAAGATGGTGTCTTGGGCAGAGGAAAATGCCTAGGCAAAGGCAAGGACAGCCTGTTCAGGGAATTCTTGAGAAACTGCTGGGTTGTTCAGTCTGGCTGAAGTTTGGGATTGCAGAGATGCGTAGTGGGAGCAGTAGGTGGCATCAACTCGTAGAGGGCCTTGAATGCCAAGGTGAAAAGTTCGGAATTAATTTGTAGAAAGTGGGAGCCCCTGAAGGTTTCTGAGCAGGGAAGTGACCCAACAGAGGGGTAGTTCAGGAAAGGCAGCCTGTGCCAGGGGTGCTGGGAGGGGGATCTAGCAGTGGTAATGAGCCCGTGGCTATGGTGACAGGGAGGAAGGGGTCTGGAGGGTTTGGGGGACATCTGCAACTGGGAGTGAAAGAAGGGGCACCAGGTACAGAGATAGCAAAGGCAACATCAGAGGGGTGGGGGGTGTTCCAGCCTGCCTTTCTGGTCCCCTGCCCTGCCTGGCCCCTGGTACACAGCAGGGGCTCAGGAAGGTGGCAGTATTGGGGGGGGGGGCACTGGGGAAGGTCGTGAGCGCTCCAGAGGGGTCGGGAGGTGCCACCTAAGAAGGCCTTGTGTTCGCCCATGAGATGGAGGCATCTGGGCCGATTGGCAGAGGCCTGAGCCAGCTGGTAGGTCTGGGAGTGGGGCGGGTAGGGAGAGGTGCCTCCTGGCCTGTCACCCCTGGGGAGGACAGGGGTGAGAGGTTAGCCTCTTGCTGTATCTGGCAGCAGACAGCCAGTTACGGCACGTTTCCCAAAAGAGGGGGGCGGGATTCTGGTTTCTTTGGGCTCCTCTGAAGTTTCTGCCATGCGGGCAGCCCCTCTGAGGCCTGGAAGCCCCCGCTGGCCATCCCCCTCCACTCTGGGGACCCAACCCCTGTTCCCCTGTGGACTAGACAGTCCCTCCTAGCACACGGCTGAGCAGACCCAAGCCCAGAGTGTTCCTTCGGATTTGGAGCATCTGGGGCCAGCTGGCAGCCCCTGGCTTTAACTTGGCCCCCTGCTCCAAACCGTTATACCCACTTCCTCCGCCCCACGGGAAGCTCAGAGGGGGGCGGTTATGATTTAATCAAGAGCATCAAACGGCCAGGAGTTGGCTCTGTGAGAGGCGGGAAGGGAGGGAAGAGCCAGGGCTGCTTGGCCAGGGCCCCTCCGTGGGACAGGACGGGGCCGGGGGTGGGGGGCCGGTTTAATCTCAGCAGGAACTGCCCTGCCCACCGCTTCCCCTCCTCTAAGCCTGGGGCTGAGGAGCTGGGAGGGAAGCCCAGAGGTAAACATGGTCTGGTGATGTGGGACGTGCTGCTCCCTCCTCCCCTGGCCCCGGAGCTGCCTGTGAAGAGACGGCCAACCACAGGCCCAGGGCCTCTGTAGCAGGCCCAGCCAGTGTCCCCCAGGGCCTGCGTGTTCCTGACTCACTCCCGGGGTTCCCCCTCCACTGTGGGTTTCCTGTCAGCAGCTGATTCACTCTGTGCTGACATGGAGGGGCAGCTGAGGGAGGAAAGAGACCTGTATTCTGGTCCTTGGTGTTAGTTCCAGCTCTGCTCTTTGTGTGCTGTGTGACCTTAGGCAAGTTCCTCCTCCTCTCTGGGCTTCCTTCCCTGATGTGCTAATGGGGAGCTCTCGGGGTTCTGGGACCTGGAAACTATCCTTTGTATAGTAGGGCACGTGTGTGCATGCCCAAACGCACATGCACACACCCACCACAGCCTCGGCACCTCTCCTCAGATGGGTAGTACGTGGTCCCACTTCCCTGCTCTCCCTCCCTGGTTCCCCCACCCACGGCACCCTCACCTACCCTTTGCCCACCCTCAGGTTAGAGAGAGGGTACAGCATGGTGGCGAAGTGCTGGACTTTAGCATTGGAATCTTGGCCTTGCAAATTCCTAGCTATGTGACTCTTTCTGAGCCTTAGTTTTTCAATCTGTAAATGGGGATAATAATGGTAACTGCTTCATAGGGTGGCCTGAGGAGAAACAAAAAAGTACCCATGAAACACTTAGCACTTTTATACCTAGCACATGGTCAGCACTCGACAACTGAGAGCATCTGGCTGCTCTTTCTGCATCTGGCTGCTCTTTCAAGGCTCGTGCCAGGCCCCTAGTGCTGAGTCAGGCTCCCCGAGCTACTTCTCAGGCTCCCAGGGACATTCCCCGAGCACCTCCTTCCTGTCCAGGCCCTCTGGCCTCTCCAACGTATGTGTGTGCATCATTTTCGGCCATGCTCTTCCTGGGGGCGGCTGGCGTTCCCCACCGTGACTCTAAGCTTGCTGAGGGGAAGTAGGTCTGAGCGTCGAGGGCCGAATGGCTTCCCCAGGCCCCTCCTCTCCCTTCGTCCTCTCCTCTGTGCTTGTCTACACAGGGCCAGTACCTTCTGCTTTGGTCCTGCTGTGTTGTCATGTACAAAGTGTCTCCGCGAACCCTGTTGGGCGGGCACTGCCCTGTCCATCTCTGTACGCTTGATTCCTGGCACGTGGCTTGGGAAGTGATGGCTGAATTCTTGGGGGGTGGGCAGGACCCAGCTCGGTGCCAGATACTTGGTGACTCCTTGCCAAGGTGGAGCCAGGAAGCAGGGTCCACATGCTCCTGCCTTGCCCTGCAGGCCCGTCCACCCCACTCCTGGAACCTGGATCCAGGCAGATGGGAATGGGCCATGCGGCCTGGGATTGCTTGAGCTGGGGCTTCTGCTTCCCTTGCGAGGTTTGGCCTTTACCCTCCTGGGAGGGGAACAGCTCAACTTCCTCCAGCCCAGTGAGGGGCCACTCTGGCCTTCAGTGAACTCTGAGCCAGAAAAGGCATCTCCGAGTCAGCAGTTGTCTGTGGAAGGTGCTATGACCCT